CACGTGTCGGCCGCGCGACATCCCGGCGACCGGCTGGAGTGCGGCCGCAGCGTCCCGGTGCCCGGCGGCCGCGGCGCCGTCGTCCAGGCACCCGTGGTTCTTCATGCGCACCGTGGCGCACACGCCGTCCAGCTCGGCCAGCAGCGACCGCTGCGCTGCCGTCTTCTGCGCGGCCGTGGCCCGCGCGTCGGCCAGCGTCTGCAGCGCGGCCCCGATGCTCTTTTCCATGACGGCCATCTGGATCAGCACGTTGGTCGGATGGTACTCGCCGGCCATCACGGCGTCGTAGATGTCCTTGAGCACGGCGCATATGCGCTTCGCGTACCCCGTGCAGTACAGGTTCGCGAAGTTGGCCGCCTCGTTGATCTCCACCAAGAAGTTCTCCACCGAGAAGACGGGTCGCGTGTTGGCCCGCAGCGCGGCCACGGCCAGCCCGACCGCGCGGCACATGCTCTGTCGGCAGCACGCGTCCACCCGCGTGGACAGCAGCGACCGGGCCGCCGATCTGAGCGTGCCGTACACGCGATTTGCGTCCACCCGGGCCGCGGTCGGCCGCTGGATCTGGTCTCCGACGTCCGCCGCCGCCGCCACGGGTCGGTACGGCCGCAGCATCGCGGACAGTTCCGTCAGCTGCTCGTACACGGCCTGGCTGACGGCGTGCTCGGGCGTCTGGTACAGCACCAGGTGAGCGATGGCGTCCAGATGATCGCTGAGCACCTCGTCCCACGTCTCCACCACGCAGCCGCGCACGTATTCGGAACCGAGGCACGCGTCCAGCACGGTCACCAACCGCGCCGGGTCCAACAGGTCCGATAGGCGGCGCGCGTCCAGCAGCTCGAACGCCGTGGCCGCCGCCGCCGTGGCCGTGTCGCCGGACCCCGCGCTCCGCTGCCGACGCCTCCGCTGCCACGTCACCGGCTCCGCGTCCCCGAACTCGTCCGCTTCCAACGTCGAACACGACGAACACGACGAACCACTATCGTCCTCCTCTTCCTCCTCCTCCTCCATTTCTTCGTCGTTTTCGCTGCCGCTGCTCCCGCTCCTGCGGTACCGATGATTGATGTTCGCTATCGGCCCGGTCCGATGCGCCATCACGTACGCTTCTGTCGCCACCTGTCCGACCACAGGACATCAGTGTTTGGATTTTTTTTTTTTTTAAAGAGGCGTGAAGCCAAGACACAACATGCTTTATTCGGGTGTTCATTTCACTCCGCGCTTCCCTACCCAACAATCAGATAGGTACGAACTGCGAACCGTTCAACTTCTGTCCCCGTGGTTGTATGATCCATATCTCGTGTAAAATGGAAATCGTTTATAACGATAACGGTCATAAGTCATCGTTATACTCATAAAAGAAGCCGGGTTCAATAACCTTACATCAAAGGTTCCGAAAAACCGGGAGTACGAAATCATTTTATGAAGTAGCACCGTAATACCGCACAATAATTTTTTTTTTTTTTGATACCGTAACTCCGCAAAAGATACTTTCAAAATTACACTAATTATCGAGAGAATATTGCACGTATTATACTTATAATTAATATAGACATTTTACATATTCAAAGTATAAATTTATTAAAATTATTAATTCAAAATTATTTTGATGTTCACATCCTACATTCGATTTTGTTAACCCTTGACATGGGTGATTTACCCGCGCGGCGAGATTTTTGGTTCACATACAAAACATAAACCCGTCCGTGAAAAGGTTTGTACAAAAACTAGGTTAGTCATAGACTATAATTCCCTTTGGGACGAAATCCCATCCCCACGAAAAGGCCAGGCAGTGACACTTGAGTTTACGACTGTAGCCATAAGGCGTGGCGAGCGAAGTCCTATCATTTTAAAAATGAAATTTCTTACATAGGTTTATTGATAAATGTGTTGTTCTAGTGCAGGGATGGCCAATTTGCGGCTCACAAGCCACATGTGGCTCTTGTCATTATTAAATGCGGCTTGCGCTTTATCAATTAAAATTTACTTATCATATTATTATTTTGAATTTTAATTGTATAGGTTTAAATTTATAAAATATTATCAAATTACTTAAAATTTATTTTTATTTATCTTGTATTTGACTCTTGGAATTATTATATTTATCTGTATGGCTCGTAAACCTATTCATGTTGGCCACCCCTGAAATAGTGTATCAGATATTTCAAACAATTTTATCTCATTCGAACTTTTGGTGTTATGAATATTTTTAGAATGCGGAGCTACGAATTAACAAAATATTTTTATTCATGCAGACTACGGTGCGTCCGAAAAAACTCCTATAAGTATAGTGTCTCTATAAATTACTCATGACTGGTTATAACGATCTAATTTCGGATTATCTTAGAAAACTATTTCATCTTCACAATGACTGTTAACATGCATCGAATTGAATTTTAAATATTACACTTTACCACACGCATCTTTTATGTACGTTAATAGTTGTTATTACAACTTTTACAGTATGTTCAAGTTGTGACTTAAAAATTCACGGTGATAAAAATACAACATAAATAGGCTGCGATATCGAGGTTTGGAATTTTTTTAAATTTCGTTTATTATGACCATATTTTATCAATCCCTCGAATATCAATTATAAACGGCTTCTATTGTACCATGTATCATATTTGCGTTGGCAATGATCATGTTTTAAAGAAAATAAATCGAAAAAAATCCTAAAATTATTACTAAACAGGTATAATGGTATAAGCATTTGTTTTTTTAAACTAATTTTATGTTGTGATTTTCTGTTGTAGCACGCATTCTTGTTAATTTTTCGTCCGAACACTTCCTTCCGACAGGTACGAGATTGTTTTTTAAATAACATAATGCCCCTTGTTCACGTTTATGATTTCTGGTTTATTAATTGATACACATCAAAACAAAACGTTCTTAGTTTTTCTCAGTACTCGCACCGTAAATGTTTTCCGTTCACGCCTCATGCCGAAATACTTAGTGTGTGGTTTCACATTTTAAGATTTATTAATTTATTATTTTTATTTTTTTGTACCTCATACATCTGAATAAATATTATAGTTAAATAATAAAATGATGAAGTAGGAAATAAAAATAAAACTAATTATTCCTACAAATGCTACGTCATATACGAGCCAGAGGAACGGATTCGTTTGATAATATGAGAAATCACAAGAGGGCAAAATAAGCTCAGAAAATAGTTGGCCTTTGTTTGAGTACTACGGTTTGTAGTAGAAGTTAGTACTGATCTGGGATAATTGTATTCCTCAATTCAACTGTTTAACAACAATGAAACGTGTGAGGTATGTTGATAAGTAATGAATCCCGTTCGTTCCCACTTCGATACACCAAATGGTACTACGTAGCGTCCAATTAAAATCAACATATATCCGTTTGTTTTCACGCGAATGGCTTAGTGTACCATTACGTATTATACACACACAATACATACGTATTTTTTAGCGTTCAGTGATTCTTCTATAATTGAAATTCGAATACTTTACATTTTGTGAACAATAGATTATTTTAAGACGCTTGAGAATTTTTTTTACACGATTATAATTTGATTATCTTCTTCTTCTTCTTCTCCTTGTCTTTCTCCCAACTATTTGGAGTCGGCCATCTTCGTCCTACATATTCACTCTCTTCGGTTTTTTACATCCCCTGCGTATTCACAAACAGCCCTTATATCATTCTCAACCATAATCTCATTATCTAATTTTATAATATACAACGAAATCCTTCCACGATAATTCGAGTGCTTGCGCATACAGTTACCGATTAGCGTTTCATCGAAAGAAAGAACATGGGATTAAAAATTCTGTACGTGTATGAAATAGGTTCTATTGTGTGTAAAGTACATAATATAATCATTCCCCATAACCACCACCACCACCACCACCACCACCACCACCGCTATCCACCGTGCGATTTGGTTGTGTGTATCGGCTCAAAACCTATGCCAACATTTGCAATTATTTAAATACATATGCGCTATTGAACAAACAAGTACAATATAATATCGGTACGTCATATTTTACCTTGGTTATTGTTTATTGTCGGCTGTGGTATTTCCCTCTTCGTTCCCGGCAACTTTTCTCTGTGATCCACACTACACTTTATCGTTCACGTTATGTTGAGCTTACGTTCACCTTAAATCATAAAAAAATACATCCTTTTTACCGTATTGCTGAATCGGAAAATTATAACAATCGTAATTTCGTGTAACAATTTCGCTGCTCAAGACTACGCAAGCACGCAGCTGATGACGCTTATTCCGCATAACGCAAGGCTCGTTTTATTTTATTATCTCGGCAGTCGATAGGGTTTTGATTTAAAACCCAAACATACGTATCGTTACGGGCAGTCGTAAATATCATGGTAAATAGTTAGTTAACAATATGCACAAAGAACGCGCAATTATAAAGCCATAAAAACAATTGACCGCGCCTCGCTAGTTTAAAACTAATTTTACGATTAATCTGAAAAGGACACGAATAAATAAATTAAAAATCGTAGCTCAAACGCGTTTAACGATTTCTCGTATCGTAATAAACATTTACACGATTAAAACTAAATACTTAGATCGTGACACTTTTGAACACTGTTACTTTTACTGTTACTGTCGCGGTACGCGGTAGTCGTTTGTTCTATTTTTTCTTTGATCGAAATTGAAGTTTTGAATTATTTGCACCGTTAATGATACATATAAATACAGTATATTTGAATTCGACGAGTTTATGTTCAGCAAACGTGTACCGATTGATCTGAGCCATTTTTGTATAAAGCTAAAATATGTTATCGCGAGTTTACCTTCCTATCTGAACTTTAACGAACGGGACAAAAGTCCAACGCCGATGACCCCGAGATTGCTCGCACCATACTACCTACCACCGGTTAACCAAAGTTCTTTTCTCCGATGGATTCCGTGAACAACAGATTTCAGTTCAGGACGAACGGTGGTAGAACACGTTCGCAGTACGAAGCATAAATAACCCTCTTTTGAATAGGCTCGTACTCGATTTCCGGACGTCGCGTTCAAATGCGTGAACACTACTCGTCTTGTTCGAAAGTAGGTCCGCGAATAGGTCTTATCGTCGAGCGACCGTTTCGAACGCTTCTCCTATGTATGTTTTCATCCCCGTTGACGTGATGCAGAGGGATTATTTTCCCTTTCAACACGTTATTGATTCGTACATTTTTCATGCTGAAAATGCGGAAAATGGGATAAGATTGGAAATGAAGAAAAAGCCGTTGAATAAAAAACTGGTCGGCGGACAAACCCTCATGTAAATCAAAATAAAACGACGCGTCATAGCGTTTCGAAAAACCACACACGTCCTAAATTTCCATCGTAGGACACTGTTAGTGTTTCATTAGCGACGTCCGGGGAACCATTTTATAATATTATTATCGTAATATACCGTTGGTACGCACGACTGAGAGATGTTACATGTCTGATAGTACGGCCATATAGTCTACACCTATTATATTATTCACCTGACCGCGGTAAGGACGATCTTGGCTGACGCACAAAACTACTTGCGGCAGGACAACGACGGCGGCGGCGGCGGTGGCAGTGGCGTATTGGATTTTTGTATAATATATTTAATGTGCGTGTGCGTATGTGTGTGTATGTGCGTATGTGTATGTGTTGTACGTGACAAACTGGTTTTTTTTTTTTGTTGTAGTTTTCGTTTTTTGTTTTTGTCAGCGACACGTGGGCCAGAAAAAAGGTTTTCAAACTTGTTCGCTTATCACGTAGAACGATCGTCATCAGCTCGAACCTTTTTCGTAAAGTGAGAGACGTTCCAATGTTATCACAAGAACAACAATAATAATAATTATTATTTTTATTATTATGCATTTTTAGGGTTACCGCCGTACATCGGTACGTCATAATATACTCGTATATTAGGTACACTATACGTATATTATTTATTGATCCGTCACACAAAGAATAATATCTCAACCCAGAGTGGAATTCCGTGTCCATCGTCTCACACTCGTCTCGTACGATCTCCAGTTATTTTTCACAATTCGATTGTTTAAAAAAATATTCAAGTTTGTACGGACGTCCTACGTTGTCATTCGTCAAAGCGCGCACGCTGATCCATCACAAAAATATTATTTTATGTTCGTACCTATACACGCACCAGTCGCATAGACATAAAAATAAATATCATACAGGTACACGTTTTAATATAATGCAGCATTATGTCTATAGGTGGTTAAGTCGTCCGTTCTATATCGTTCGGAAAAAAATGTTTTTGTTCAGGCAAATTGTGGTCCGACTAATCGATAACTGTGTTGATTTAAAATTGTCATAACGTAATGGTCGAGTGAAATTATCATAATTATCAACTATCATAAGTTCTAAAATCTTAGAAACAATAGTTATCGAACAGTTGCTAGCTTATTTTATTATGTTTACATTAAACAATAGAATACTTTGAACTTGTGTGTCCACAGCGTGAAAGTGGCGAATAATGTAATATTAATCATTTATTTATTCATAAGTAACACTACATAGAAACATGTGTTCTTTTAGTACAATAAATTAATTTGGTGTAAAAGTAAAATAAGTTGTAATTCAAAATAATATGAGTGAAGTAGAAAAAAAAAACGTATCTGTATTTTAGTAGTTATCGGTTTTTCATAGTTCACTTGTACGTACTTAAACAGTAAAACGGATAATATCGATTGTTAAATAAATTTAAATAAGCCTTTATTTTTTATTATTTTACAATAATATCGAGACACATGATCCACGTTGACTACTTATTATCTCATTAAAAATGTAATATTTCATAATTTTTATTGATTTACATACGTACTTCATAGTGATTTATTACAATAATCACATTTAGGTACGGATTTTAATTGATGCATTTAGCGGAACAATATTTTGAAATGTGTTCGTCGATTATAATCGATACGTACATTTGTAGTATTAAATAAATATCACGCACGCAATTCAAAACGTTGTGTTCAGAACAACGTAGTTGATTTTTCTGATTCGACTTTGAGTTTAATTTTTATTATCTAGTAATACGTTTATCAGCATACAGTTTTTATGTTTTCGTTAAACTTTTATCAGCAGTGAATAAAAATTGGGCGCTGTTTAAAAACAATTTTTATTGTTATTTCTTCGTTTATAATTATTATTATTTTTGATTTTTTTAATTACATAAGCTGACAATGGACGATAAGCGGTAGTTCCACGCATCCAAATGGTTCGGTGTACGTACTAAGTATTATTATTATTATTGCGTAATACGTACGAGCTGATATTTAAAAAACGGACGGTACCGTTTACTACTCACACATATCACTAACCCAACCAATGGCCAGTGCTTGTCGAGGGGGCGATTAATACGTTTAATATCGCGAAAACGTGTTTACGTTCGCGACAAGCGATTTTTTTTCGTTTTCTCCTAAATCGAAACCGTTTACCGTCCGTTCGTTCGATCGCGGGTACGTTTAAAACGTTTAGCGGGTCGTTTTTGATTTCGGTATGCGTTTACGGTGGGCCGCGTTTCGTAGCGGCTCGGCGGTCGATATTTTTCAATCGCGCTCTCAAACCGACGCACGGCAACCGACCGTCCGGACCGTCGAAAAGGAAACGGTCGGAGCACCATCATACACGGCCGAAACGGTGCGGCGGGCGATCGCGAAAACAACCGTTTGAAAACGAAACCGCGCGGGCTGTGCTGACGACGGTGCCACGAGATATCGTAAACTTGCGGGGAACGAGGGCGGGGGATCGTTAAACGGAGAAAAAAAAAAAAAAAAAAAAAAAAAAAAACGTGTAAATAATATGTAGCTAACTAACTAAATGTAACTAACCTAACCTAAAACGTAGTTTAATGCAAAAAACCTACTCACCGGCGGATGGCTGGACGAACTCGCGTACACATCTCCTCGGCCGCGGGAGCACGTGCGCGTTGCTGACGAGATCCGTTCGCGATGCGACCGCGGGAACCGGAGCGACGAATCCGTGTGACGTCCCCCCCCCACTCCAATGCCGGTTACATTCATAGGTTCGGCGGGGCGCGGCACGGTCACCGCGGTGAGTTTTCGCGCGCGAGCAAACAACACATCGCGCGAACGTCCACCGTGCTGCTGGCGTTTGTCGACGGAAAACGGCGACCGTCGTCGTGGCCGCGATCCGAATCGATTTCCATCGACCGATCTTCCACTCGAATCGTTCGTCCGATTTTTACCACGCGAATCGAACCGTCTGTACGATGTTTCATCGCGTTGCTCTAACCGGTTCTTCTCACGAACTTTTCGTTCCGATTTCCGACGGTTCACTTTCAAGGATCGCCCAACACAAATTACACGTTTCCGTGTTTTTTTCGTCTAATTTTCACTTGGAACATGAGCAAATCAGCGAAAAGTGTCGTCTATTGAGTAAAAAAAAAAAAAATCGATCTTTTCATTCCGATCGAAACTATCGATTTACTCTCAAGAATCGCCCATCACTAATCAGATGCGCACCTGCGAGCGCACGTGGCTTATGGTTCCGCGGTGAGTGGAAGGAAGACGCGAAGTGTCGATAAAACCGTGTGTGTGCGTGCGTGCGTGCGTGCGTGCGTGCTGTAAGCGGACGCGGTGGGGTTACCTTGTGTTTCCGGACCAGATAACCACCACACGTCCGCGATCGGAATGTGAAATCATCGTAATTTATAATTATTATTATTATTACGGTTATCGTTGTTGTGATAAGACCCTACGAGCGTTGTGTGTCGAATAGGTGGAGTTCGAGTGATGAGTCTGCAAGACGCGTCCAGTCGATCGTCCGCCGATCGTTATAAACGCTCTGCAACGATATGCGATCGACCTCCCCGAGAGAGAGGTCAAAAATACGATTTCGAACTTAACATGGAGGACAACGCTGTTTAAATGTCGATAAAAGTCGAAAACCTTAAGGTTTGGTCCCGGAGACCTATTTTTAATCGTACTAGAGTTCGGTACGGATTTCAAAATTATGTTCGCGTTCAGCGGGATACTTGTAAATACAGTTTTAGAATTTCACGTAATTTCGATACGATCCGTGGACAGGTGGACATTGGTGAAAACCGTCCAAGGCGGAATCGCAGGGAAACAACATGAGGTTACAGACACAATGTTCCGTCGTTTTGGTCGATTTATTTCGTTCGAGATCACTCTGACGTGTAATGATTTATTATTATCAATGAATTAATTTTTAGTTTAAAAATATTTTAAAGCTTTAAAAATCTCGTCTATATTCTTGACACTTACCGATCATCGTGTCCGTCGAATCGCTCAAAGTGAAAACGGCAGCATGCGCCAACATTATCTGTACCGGCCGGGGATTGAGCTACCGCTATAATATTTTAGGACTAAGTCCTCGCGCTTGAATAAATAACGTTATCTGTGTTGCAATAGAATCGTAGAGATAATACGGTTATGCTCATTTATATTTTGTATGTTAATCACTCGTCCGTTGATGAAATAACTAATCAGACAGTATAAATAAAAATATTTCAACTTTTTGGTACACCACATATTACGTGATATTTTCTTACTCGTATTAATCAATACTTATCCATCAGTTACCAAATAATTAGTCGAATAAAGAGATAAACTAGTTGGCTTATTTTATCAATATAAAAATAATTCAAAAGTAATAAAAGTATAGCGAACAAGGTCGACATTAAATATTATGTTTGAAGGAATGCATGTGTTTAGAATGCGCTTATAGAATGATTTTAATTTATATTCACAACCTTAACAACAATCGAACCAAAAATATCTACAGTTTAAATGGAGTGCATTATTTGTATTATATTTACATAATATTATATTTGCTTTATTGAACTTTCGAATATATCAAATGTTTAATATTTTTGACAAAAAATTGTCGACATCATATAGCTTTATTAATTTTAACTTTTTTAGACTTAATTTGTAGAGCAATAATTGTTATAGTTATAATAATAGAGCTTATTTTACAATCTTTATGAATGCTGAGGTTTATAATCAATCAATTTCGGTTTAAAACGTATTTATTAAAATTAATCTGGTAAAGCGTCTTCTATAAATGTGTTCAGCTTTTATTTTTCAAAAAAAATATAAAATACACCATTAACTTGGATAGTGAATTTTAATCTGATCATTTTATCTTTATTTGATGATTCCTAACCTGTTTCATCAATAACACATAAAGTTACGTTTTATTACCAATAAGACACAAAGTATACGGAATAAGAATACGTTTCTACGTGAAATATAAATATCAACGACCAAATGTCCAGACGTTTATTATGCCACGTCGAATCATCTTATTAAAATTTTTATCTATTAATATAGATTATATAAGTCCGATTTGTTTTAAGTAATCAGTATAAAAGCTTCTCATTTAAATAATATATTAAGAGATTACGCAAATTTTTTATTGTTTACCATATTGTTGTACAATGATATGAAAATTCATATTAATTACAGATCGATATAATACTAACATTACAATTGTAATTTTAATGTATAATGGATTATAATAAATTAACACTACAAATTAAATTAAATTATATGCAATGTTTCAATTTTTTTTTTTACGTCTTGAAAACAATATATAATAAACTTTCTTATGTCCTGATTCTTAATTAATAGACGAACGTACATAGAAGGTCATTAATTTTTGATTATATTACATTGAGCATAAAATACAACTTTAAACAAATATACATTTATTTGAATTACAACAAAAACAATAGATAAATTAATAATAAATTTAAACAAAAACAAAACAAATAGTCTTATTAAAAGCAGCTGGTATAAAAACAACCGATCATCCCCTCCGGTGTGTAGATCATCTATAACAATTGATGTAATAATTAATCCTACACCCGTGATTGTAAAATACACTGTTCGGTAAATAAATTCATTACATTCTATACTATCATTATTTCTAATTTTTAATAAAAATGTAAAAAAACTTCGATGTACAAAGCATTAATTCCGACGAGACGTGAAGTTCTTTAGCACAATATTGTTCGTTAATTAAAAGTTAGTCTTACCCAAAATATACCTCCAAATAACATATTTTTTTAAAAAGCACAAATCATGTAGACTTCAGTATTAATAAAAATCACATTAGTTAAATTCTAAAAACAAGTCTTAAATGTTTTACTCTGAGGAATTGCAATTTTATTGAGTAAATATAGAGTTATATTTAATATTTATGTTTCGTATAGACTTTTTGTGTACTTAAGTTTCAAAATAATTTACTTTGTACACTTGGGTAATTTACCTACTACACTTTTATATGCAATTAAAACAACACACAAACATTTTTAATTAGAAATTATCTGCAAGATAAAACACTAATTAAATGTAGGTATGCAATTTATGGCTGCATAGAAAGGATTGAAACACCGTTGTTATAATAAATATTGCACTTGTAACTTTGCTTAACATTCAAGTACTTGCCTGAAAATCTGAAATATTACTCATCCTATACAGCTAATTACGGTTTACAAAGCTAATTTATTTTATAATAACTAATTAATGTAGATAAAATATAAAAAGACATTGCGTCGACTGTGACTTATAATATTAAGAACATTTTAACAACATGTTAGTGTATTAGCTTTGTACGATTCATAGCAAGTGTTCTTAAGGCTGAAAAGATAGTTTACGATAGTTTAAAGTTGCACCTGGCGTGTAACATGACGTATTAATAGCCTCTAGCAAAAACACTTCAAAATTATGATGCGTAGCGGTATGAAAAGTATACGTGGGCATGGTTTAATCAGAAATGGAGCAAGTATATAAATTAATATTGATACGTATTGTTCGACTTTAATAAAACAATACAATTTTAAGTATCTCGATGACTCGTTAAAATTTTTATCTAGATTTGGACAACAAAAACGGTGTATAATGTATACATTAGTTCGAGCCATTTACGTTTCATTAACTCGTATTGAATCGAGAATTTTAATATTAATCATTAATCCTACTAGTTGCTAGTTATATTACGGACGAAAAAAGTACATATTTAATTAATACAATTTGTCATTGCTTTTTAATCAATTTAATACGTCCACTCGTTGTGTAAAATAATCGGCAAACGAATGTTAATAACATCATAAAAGACTTTGAATTTTGAAAATGGGATGATAATACGAATATAATTAGTTATTAGGGTTCATATACGTTGTAGAAACTTTTATTTGTATAAAGTAACATGATACAACTTACTACATTATTAAGTCGTAAAAATTGATTTCTTGTTAGAAATTACTCTATACTACGTTGTTGTATAGTGACCATTAACGAATCGAATTTTAAATGGGGAATAAAAAACTGAATATTATAATATATAATTACTTGATTACATGGATGCGTGTCTATACGTGGAAATACTTCGAAGCCTATTTGCTTAAAGAATTATTGTGTGTGTGTGTGTGTGTGTGAGATCTATAGTTATCCTGGAACACACCATTATGTGTACATCCGGATGAACATGTAAGATCGGATGATTCGATATAACTACTGTACGCGCGAGGTTGCTATATAGAACGAACAGCTTTCCTATATGTATGCTAGCCGCATGTCCGAAAATTATCGATCACAGATGATGATATCGATCTGATTAAAAAATTAATATGGTTGGTATAAAACTAAACTCGTAGTATTATATACAAATATATGTATACTATGCATGTGCACATTGACAGAGTCAAATTTAGAAGACTCCAATCCCGCGGTTCACACCGTTAATACAGACTTAAACGCCGGTGATATTTACACCACTTTAATAGAACTATAAAAATGTTCAAGTGGACTCCATATGTATCATCTGTACACACACGATACACGTCGAGTCACTTGACCGTACTTATATTATTACGTACATAAAATCGATCGCAATAACTAGCCCGTTTGTTTTATTTCTAAATCAAATATGATTTCATCACAGTTACTCGATCGATTCCAAGTTCGTTATTTATAATCATGATTTCATTTAAATAAAACAATTATTGTTTAACTATAAAAATGTATTCAACTAATTTAACTGTCGAATAATATTTTATGTTTAAGTGAAACTGCAACAGTAAACGCAGGTACGAGTGTTTTGCCATAACATGTATACAGCACATTCAAATGAGTTGAAACCCCACGTCACCGTCTCATAATTTAAAATGTGTAAGAAGAACCCAGACAACAGTATGGATTATATTCTATTTTCTCATTAGTTTCATAGGAGTTTATAGGTGTACTAAAACATAATTTAGATCCGTGTTTTCTGCGGTGTCTAACGAACGATGATGTAAACAAATAAACCGGAGTACATCGAATCTAGTATACATAAAAAGGTACGTAGGATCACGCATGGTTATAATAAAACATTGTGCAAAGTTTCGGTTAATCCTTAAAAAAAATTAAACTATCCATTTTAATATCGCTTATAAATAACCGTAAACAGGTTTTTCAGAGGAGGGTACGCTGTGTCGACGAGAACATCGTATGTGTTATTAAAACCATACCATACGTGAGTCTCATAATAACATCATATTATTATATTACGTGTTGCTCGCGATGTACTTGGATTGTGTACGGTAAGTGTTTTAAAGAGAGAAAATATGGTTGGATTACAATGGAAACGCGTTCGATTTTTCAATATAGAGATGGGTAAGAAAATGGAAACTGCAGCAGGTGTAATCATCTCGATGTAAAGTTGGTCATTTTGATTTTTTCCTAAATACTCGATGAAAAGAGTTCGAAACCCACGCGTTCAGTGAATGGAAGGAGGACTTACCGGTATGAATGGGACTAGTGTTCAAGTCTCTTCTCCCTCCTCCTTCTCGTCACCCCGTTACTATGTATACGCACGCCGCATGTGTTCTCTACCGTATTATATTGTGTGGTCAGGTGTGCGTAGGTAGGTGTGCCATTGATCACTTCCAGTGGACAACCGAAAACAACTTCCCCCACGAATTTCGCAGCACATACATGTATATTTGTTGTACACGACCGCAAAAATAAGAGAAAATAATAAGTCGAAGAGGAGGATAAAAAGTATACTTATAATAAGTATGGTGATCACTTTACACACATTATTACGTCATTTTGCAAAAAAAAAAAAAAAAAAATCAACAATAATAATGAATAACTAAATATACTATACACGACCATTTCTCGACTACATAGGTATCGAATTACAAGTCGAAGCAATTAACGCGAAACGTGCTGTGCGATAACTGTTTTAAAACGCTATCCATTAGCTATGTAGATATCCTTACGACGGACAGATGAAGGGTGATCGGTATCCAATATACACAATGGTTATAGGTACGTGTATATATATATACTGTGTTAGTATAATATATGGATATGATATACGTATGTTATATTTGTCAAAATTAATTTGATATAATCGTCGATAGATTTGTATTATGTACCCGTTCGTCTTCTGAGATTCGATACGAGTATTAACATAGTATCGTTTAAGTTTATGTTTAATTTCTTTAACCTTTTATTTTTATAAACAGCAGTGAATAAAAATAAAAGTAAATTTGTTTAACAAACATATTAACATATTTATATTTAACATGATTTATAATATACATATTTTAATTGTAAAATTATATCAAGATAGATTATTATTTTTTTTTTTTTGCTTTGAATCACTTAATCTCTTTTAGATATTTTATGGATATTTTAAAATATACTAGAGAGTGATAAATAGTTTTATGTTCTGATTGCGTTGAAATCCCTGAGAGTGTTGATCAGTAAAATAAAGATAATTATGTAATACCAATGAACAAAAAACAATTGTATGCAAAATACTTAAATGTATAATAGGTTTAGGTTCATTACAAATCGAATACTAATATATCACCAATAATAAAATCAATATACAAATATCTGTACGAATGTTGGAATACGTTTGCGTATGATAAAATAGTTGTATGATATAAACGTACTCGCATGTATACATTTTTTTTTTAATCTAAATTATAACTTTGGCTGTTGTGGCCATTAATTATTTAAAAAAAAAACTATATATTTTATCTATGTATTGCATTAATTAACAAAAAAATGTTTTACTTCAATTTTTTTAAATTAATTTGTTAAGTCCGGTAACCTTGAGGAAAAGAATAGATTGATAGTGATTGTTGGCACGACAAATTCATACAGATTATTTAAGGATTACTTGGGACGTTATATTTAATAATATAGACATATAGTACGGGCGGTAAATAATAATTCAAAATAATTCAATAGATATTTAACGTAGCTCCATTCAATTCTTATTTTTTGTGTAAAAATAAAGTATATTATATAAAATGAATATCGGTACTTTAAAATTATTTTTGTATGATTTTTAAAATAAACCAATTTGTCCTGGACGTCTTAGAATTAAACGCACAATGAGCTGATGTAGCGATTAAAATTCTTTTGCGTTTTCAAACGTACGTACGGACACAGAATAAAATATGGGCGTTTATATAAGTATACTTATAATATATAATAATATAGCAACATCGTATCAGAAAGAAGAAAACATCAAAATAGTTTAGACTACACTTGTCTTAAAGATTGTCGGCTAAGGGTTTTTGTAATACTGTTGTACACCCATAAGACCACTAAAATAATAATGATAATGATACGTCTACAACCCCTAGCCGGGGTTCTGGTATATTATTACTACCTGAGGTACGACTTTTCCTGACCAGATGATTTGTTTTCTTCCATACAATCTCGGAAAAAACGATAGTTAAAACAAATTTAAATAATCTGAAGAAATGTTTACAGAAATCTTTATCAAATATGTTACCTGAATTCCCGTGTTTGTGAATGACTGGAACACAATTGAATAAGGTCATTGGAAAATACTCGGTACCTATTTATATAGATTAAATATAATATTATAGCAACTACATTCTTTAACTAATAGTTTTATTTTTTCACTACAGATAGTATGTATACAGTGTTTGATACAGGTTAGTCTATCAGAAGGATTATTATTACGAATTTTTGTACTTTTTTGTAGATTTTTTTGTGAACTTCGTTTGTGAATTTTTAAATTACGAAAGATAAACGCTTATTATTAATATGCCGTTTGATGCATTTCTTGACGGTATATTAAATAAATAACTCGTTAAATATTAAACTCTTGGAGTTTAAATAGACAGGTCGATCAAACATTTTCAAACACCCTAAACATAGACTGATAAAACGTTTCCAAACGTATTATTAAACGAAATTATCAAATTACATTCAAAAAGTCTACATAACGTAAAATTTTAAAATATGAACGTGATATTCAATAATATTGAACGATATAAAAATGTTTTTTCAAACGTATGCCCTTGGCTATGTATATTTCAGTATTTCACTTGAAAACGCAATAGAATTTTTTAAAGTTTATTCGAATTTTGTGTTGACTTAACGTGAATGCTAAATTATTTATTTTGATAAAAAAATTGAAACCGAAATATTTTTTACAAAATACGTATTAGAAAAACTATAAGACCTAAGATGAGTATTTATTTTTTTTTTCGATTTATTTGTATGGAATTACAACGAAAAAACGTATTCAAATAGTTTCACCAGTGTCAGATCTGATTCTTTTTAATTTCATTTTAATATCGACAATTTTGGATGAATTTATGTTCGTATACAACGCGGTTTTTCCTGTGGCGATTCGAGGAGTAAAAATGCACGACGTGATCTGCTTATCGTTACATAGTATTGGAAATTAATCGAACACAACTAACGAGCGAATAATCTATAAATAGATGCAAGTTCACGTACCCTTTTCAACGTCTCGTCGCGGTCCCGTAGGACACCTTCCACTAATACAACACGACCATTCAAAATGTCCTAGACTGGAACACGCCCTGTACGTGGCGGGAACGTAAGACGCATAAATGGATATTGTACATACTATCCACGGTCATAGGAACACGTAGCCATCGTCGTAAAGCGCACGCGGCGATGTTGTACGATTATAATTACGAAAAATCGGAAAAAAAAAAAAAAAAAGGAAAAATAGCCCGTACCTTAAAAACGCGGCGGGAAAACGAGTGAAAACAATAATAACAGTTGTAACGCACAATAAACGGGAGTGAAGTCGGCGGGTAAAGAGCATAGGCAATCGGCATAGGCGGCGGCGGCGGCGGCGGCGGTGTTTAGGCTGATAGCGGCAGAGCCGCGCGCACACGCACACGCGCGCACACCCGACAGTCATCGGACTGTGCACAGCATCCCGTAGCGGCCGAGAAAACGTGCATAGTGTGCGTTCGGTGGTCTCGGTGTTCACGTGCGTCTCGTACTCGTCATCGTCGTTTCCGTCTCTCCGTTTCTCCTCTCTCCGTCCCACTGCCGTCCTTTTTCCACTACCGTTTTTTTTTCCCCTTTTTATCTCTCACTTATCTTTATCGCGCTCCCATTCTCTCTCTCACACGTCCTGTACACCGTGCATACGTCCGTCTTCCTCATGTAACACGTCGTTCCTCTTCGTCCTTCGCCCCGGTTCGTCGTCGAACACGCGCACATTTGGCCGCCACATGTAGTGCCGGTCACCCTTCGAGCGCACAGTGCACGCGTGGATCCCGCACACACTCGTACGAAATCCTCCGACCGCGAACGTGTGCGTGCCGTCGTTTCCTGAACCCGTTCCCTTTTTCACTTTCCGCCGTGCACCGTCGTCCGTTCACCGCCGGAAAACCATGCGGTTCTTCTGACGCCCGTCAGCGTGTGTTTGTCCGCAGTTGATCGCCGTCGACGCATCCGATTTCCGGCCAACGGTTTCCCACCGGAAATGAAGCCGCGGCCGCCGTCGTCTTTCCCGCTGGTCACCGCCGCCGTCGTCCTGTTGACCGCGGTCGTCGCGATACCCGACGTTACCATCCCCATCGAACCGATCGACAACACGGGTGGCAATCAGTGTTACGACGAGCACAACATCCCTCAGGTACGTCCCGCGCATGCCAACGTCTACAATAGCTTTACCTGCGCGCGCGGTGAACGTCAATTCACGCGATCATATGCAGTCTACACGATAATGATGATGATAATAATAATAATAATTATAATAATAATAATACATCCTTTTGAACGGTCTTCGGACCAAAATTACTAGTTTTTTATTATTTGAATTTTCTGCCTATCCGAGTACGCCCGCTCGCGGTCGAACGCACTGTCGTAACAAACGTCGATTTCAGACCAAACCGAGTACTATTTTTACGCACTCTTATTTATAACTACTTTATACATGCCTGTGCGCAATAACACTATAGTGTTACAAAAATAAAATAATAAAACGATAAGAGACGATGACTAGGGCAAAATTATGAACCATAAACAAATTTAATCGTTCCGTTATTACTTCAAACGATAAATTTTTTTTTTTACAATCCAAATTAAAATCACGTTATAAATAGGCGTATAAAGTTGGTATTATTCATCAACGAGACTCGTAAATTATAAATATAATAATTTCTCTATTTTATGTTCATTTAATCATGTACACTTATGCGGCAAATATGAAATTTTATGTAAATACAGTAAACACATTTACAGTGAATATGGTACATTCAACAAGGAAAAAAATGTACTCATATAGTTTATTACGAACTGTAAAAATCATCGATGTCTTGTTACACGTGTAGTGACCGATCGCTATGTTCGCATAATACAAAATAACCCTGTTGGTTTTCAAAATCTTTTGTTGCTCGACCTTTTTTCTTTCGGTCACGAATTCCATAGAGAACAAACCTCGGGATCGAGGCGAAAGAATGTATTGTCTACTGTCTTAGAAATAGTCGGAGAGGTGAAAAAAAAAACATTTTTTCCATTTGGGTCCAGTGGTAATGGTGATATGGTTAAGCTGAACATGGGATTTCAGTGAGCGAACATGGCTCAAGGGCGTCGGGTTATATTATATTTTACAATGAAGAGAAATAATTCAAAAATTCTGTGATAAATATTGACTTCTCAATAGTCCCATATCGTTTTGTCAACTATTAAGTGTGTCGAATAATTCAATGATTTACTCGTCCATTGCGGAGCATCTTATACTACGTTAGAATAATGCAGTGTCGACGTAAATTTGTTCCGGATTTCTTTCAAATCGGTCTGAAGTTGTGAATCACCTATTACTACTTTGCGTTACACAACAAGGTTGTATCTCAATTTTGTTATCAATATGATTGGTTTTCATAAGTAACACAGGTTTTAGATTTCTAAGAATTCTATATAAATCTGATGCTTAAACAGAACAAACCTATTATACGACCTAATTCGTATATGTTCATCTGGTGGTAATAACATAATTTTGTATTTCATGGATATGATAAAAATCGTTCAACGGTTTTATCTAAGACATACACATTATATTATAACAAACACATATTATTCGTTTGTAACTTAATTTATTTGATAATTAAAAAAATAAATATATATATTTATATATATATATACATATTCCAATCTTATTTGAGAGTTTATAAATAAAAATGTTATAGGTTGTAGACCTTAACTCTCCATTAATTAGTAATGCAATACAAAATCATTTTATAGATAATATAGTGTGTAGGTATTTTTGATGTCAGAATACATTTGATCGTTCGACATTTAGCATATCTCTTAATGCGTTATACATATTATACCCACACACAATATAGGTATTACTTTAGTTATGTGAATAAAACGACTTGATTCATCATTTTTCCCGTTTTCGAATCGAACGTATCGGAATTCGTAGTAGTTTTAACCGTACAGTCCGAGAAAATAATTGTTTTTAATAGCCTAATAATATTTTTAAATACAAATCGTTAGACGATTGAATTGGCGTATACATACTGAAACGTTACGTTCGTTCTAAATATAAACGAAATCGGTTTTTAAATGTTGTACATTTTTCATCTGGGTTTCCATGTGCCTTTTCATCCGATTTCGAAAGAGAATAAACCGATCCCGTTTGCATAACAGCAAGCGAACATTTATACGAGTACAAAAAAAAAAAGAATTTATCGTGTACTATGACGAGGTTTGTGCACATTTTCCGTTCCCGACGTCAGTCTCGCGTCGTCTGCAAAGGTTTCAGTGAGTTTTTTAGGAATACGGCAGAGAAGAACACGTGCGTACGATTGTACCGTACCACTGAAATCCCGAACTAACCGTAACATCTGCTCCGGGTCTGCGGGTTCGAGTCTAATTTTACATACGCACCGCCATGTTCTCGGACACCATGGGCGCCGCGCCCGGCTAACCATGGTGATACCACGGTTACGGAGCGGTTACGGAGCGGCGGACGGTGCGCGATGCGACGAGAATGAGACCGGGGCCTTGCACCTAAAACGAATTCGAGAGCCGAATCTATGAGAAAATTTATGAGTCGAATCGGAACTGTTCGGCACGAGGATGTTGCACCGATTTCGCACCGCGGTCGCGACATAATGGTACGGAAGTCGAGAACCGCAAACGGACGGCGAATGTGCGCGCGTGACGGATTACGAAGACGTTCGCGCGGACGTCGTGCGGTGTTAGTCGTCGCGGCGGCGGGTTTTCGCTTTACGGGAGCCCTGCGGATAACTCGCGACGGCCGCGAACGTGGTGCTCGCCAGTGGCGTATCCAGGATTCATTTAATGGGGGTGTTTTAAAATTTAATAGACTTATGGTAAGTGGGAGGCTCTGCCCCCCCTTATATTACATAAATAAGTACCATGTATTTATATAAATTATTATACTGTAAGTTTACAATTTGATGAAATACCATAGAATATGGTCGAAAGGGGGTATTCTAACCCCCCTAAATACACCCCTGGTGCTCACCGATCGTGAACCAATTGCGTGCGGTCAACCCGGTCCGAACCCGCGTTCGGTTCCTTCCCGAACGGTTACCTTCTCGTACCGACACGGATCGCTGCAAGGGGACCGGTTCCGAAAGAACCACGGTCGCGGTATCGTCGCGCTCGCGCTGGTACCGGGGTCGGACGCGTATGCGAAAAAAACATTTATCGTTGGCTTTTAGAATGGATTACGACCGATGGTTGACACACCGTGACAATTCGATTCGGTCGCCGTTGCGCGGTTTAACGTGTTTCACGCGGACGAAAACTACGGACATGTTGTAACGTAAGTACACATTTTTCATCGCGTTTCGAAGCGGGTTTGATCCGTTGAAATTCCCGTCCGCGTACGCGTCTGTTCGTCATACGTTGGCAACATCGTGGTACGAACGAACAAAAAACGTACTGTAAATGTGTTACCCGATCACGGGAAAACACGAACACTTGACAGGAAATCGATTACGGCTGGGAAGCCGATTGAGGATCACTGCTTTGGAAAAGCGATAGCCATTCGGCAGTTTTGAAATAAATTGTACGAATATTCAACGGGCGAATAACCAACCGACAGCCTTGGTGCGGATTGCGGATAACGGTTCCGAACGTTTTTCCAGGACAGTAATGGATCCCGAAATTGATTTCGATCGTATTCTCATGCTTTTGTACCGATACATAATCGTGTGTCCGCCGCAGCCAAAGCCGCGTAACACATGTGCGTACGCGTGTTACAGCTGGATAGGCCCGCGCCCGCCGCTGCGATTTCGTCGACGACATTTGGAATGGATCTTAAAAATATTACATGGTTGTACTATTATTGCAGTCCTTAGCCGTCTGTCTCCCCCTCTAATTCAGAAAATGTTCAACGCCACACGCTGTACATGCACACATGCACACGTGAAGGTTATTTTTATTTTAGGCTCTTACGACTCCAACACATATGATATTTTACTTGCACCGCGTACAACGTGTTTTGGTTGAAATCGTTTTTACTGTATTTTCATTTCTCAATTTGCTTCGCACGTATACTACTTCACTCGTACGTTTGAGCTCGCTAATACGAAAAAAATTGGTTTAACTTCGTATACGGATCCGAGCAATCGAAATCGATTAATATCGAAGGCTCTTTTCATATTTCGATTCGTTTAGAGTAATAGTTACTTACACCATGCGTACAGAAGAATTTCACTCGAACCGTCCCTTCAGATCCACCGTAACGGAGAGTCCTTTGATATCACGCCGCATACTGCTGCAATTGTATTTCCGATAAAGCGTCGTGTGAGGCCGTTATAGTTTCCTCTATAGATTAGAAAAACATAAGCATACGGACAATATGGCTTACAAGCCTAAAAATATAAATGCAATAATATCACAGCATTCTAAAACAATATATTTCTTCAAGTATCGTCTTTATTACTATTTTACATACGTTTCGATGTCGCAGCTGCAGTAAATCGCGATGTCACGCGTTTTTGTAGTGATGCATTAGTATGATTAAAATATGCTATTGAAAATCGCAAAAAACAAGTTTTCCAACATAAAATATATGTATTTTCCTATCAACATTTCTAGTTTTGTGTATTTTACCAAGACGCGTAAACGCATAATAAATTATTTTTCCATACAACCAATCGGATTTCTTGTCTACTAATCGTTCCTATCGTTCCGGTAATCAATGGAATATCGTTAATCATCATCAATCTGCAGTCTAATAATTGGATACCGTTAATCGTTAAACAGCCACAACTGATCAAAATAATACTAATCATATTATTATGTTAGGAATGAAAAAATTAATCTTGAACCACAACTAAAATGAACCGATCGCAACAAACGTGTGTAACCACGTTATCATAAATCATATTTTATCGGGTACAATTCATTATTTCACGCATCAGAAATATGCTGACTTTGATTTTTCCAACAGTTCATAATATTTGGCTGTTAACTGTAATATGATCTATCCACGATTTACACTTGGTTTTCTGATTTAATGAATCACATTAATTATGGTATATTATTTTGTGTATGCGTTTCGTGTTGTTTGTTCACATATTTCTCATCACAATCATTCGTATACAGCACGACACAGGAATTGTATGGACTTTTTGTCTACGATTATTCATTGAATTCCTGATCGTTTTACAATAGCTGGAATATGGCCGTGAAACGAAACAGAAAATATTCCTTCAAGTCCTAGCATGACGCCGTCAGAAAATAATAATGCTATTTCGATTGAAAAATTCATAAATTTTACAATCGAAATAGCATTAAAAAAAATTATTAAAATAAAAATAAAGAATAGCATTATAAAAACATATATAAATATAAAATAATTCGTACCTATTGTTACGAGATAAAAAAATTATATTTTCAAATTTTCAGTATTTTTTTTTTTTTTTTTGCGCGGAAAATTATAAAATATAACAAATCTATCACATCTCTACATATTACAGCCATAATATATAATGAGACAACTATTAATATAATAACTTAATGAAGAATCATCTTGTATTAGGAAAATTAATTATTTCTATGAAGAGGAAATTAAATGTTTGAAGCTTACTTTAAAATTGTCTGCTAGTTTTCAAATGAATTCGTATAGGAAACGGTTAAATAATAATGCGATAAAACATGATTTTTTTTAAAAAAATATTATTTATTTTCAAAGTCCGCCTGGTCGAATGTGCGCTGCAACTGTCGTGTCCAAATGTACATAGTTATGTACAATAGCTCATTGTCCAAAGATACGAGCGATCAACACTCGGAATCTTTATTCTTTATACTATTTCTTCTTTCCAACGGTATAATTAAAATGTTTTTTCGACGGTAAAACATCATCATGAACAGTTTCACGGCATCGATTCGCATTTCGAACAATTATTACAATAACCCGGAGAATCTCTCGAACGCGTCGAGTACGTCTTTTCATGCGTATAATGTGTTTCAGAAGAAGGACGGAAATTAATTTGGATTGAACGGCGGGAGTCTGGAGCATTTCTTGGTTAGGGTGAGTTACCGAGGACGACAGGGTACCGCGTGGACGTGGGTTAGGTAAGGTATGACAACGGTATCCTCGTTACCTGTACACGATCTATATATCTTGTACGCGCATTGTAAGATAATGACGGCATGTGCACACCGCCGTGGTGCATTTTATGTAGCAAGCCAAAAAAAAAAAAAAAAACGACACGTTCAATTCCGGTAGCCACGCGTATACACGTATAATATATTTCTGTAATATAAATATAAATCCCGACCAGAATCCGGCAATTATTCACCGGTACACCGATAATAAAAACGTCTGACATTACGCGCGTTTGTTATGTATGCTTATATATACGTGTGCTCCTGTGTGTGTGTGCGCGCACGTTTGTGTGTATCCTTAGTCTTCGGAGACCAGGAGAGAGGGTGTGTATTGTAATACACGGTACTTGCGTAGTACTTATTATACGCATAGATATACAAATGTACACGGTACTAGTACGATTTTTGCATTCCAACGAAATTTTTCTTCGCGAATACCTACACGCGTTTTTTCCCTCGTTTCCAACACACACACACACACATACTCTTACACAATGCGAATGGAGCATACGCCTACAACGTCAACAAAGATAGTAATTATTATTCATAATAATTACGAGCAGAATATAACGTAGGTATTCGCGACGGTTCTCAAAAGACCCGTGGCAGCGGTGCGATGACTACGGCCAACGGACTGCTGTAAATAATATTTTCAAATAATCCGTTTTCGACCTCGTGTGTACGTAATGTTTTCCGTCCAGTAGACAGCTTAGACATTGTAATGCACGCGCTCGCGATCGAAAACGCGCACTGCCGTCGCGATAGTATAAAAAGTTCACGTACAGAGGCGGTAGACATCCTGCAAAATAATACGCGGAATACATTTAATATTACACTAAGTGCACGTTAATTGACTGTTACGAATCTGTAATATATGCCGAAGCGATCAGTACAGAAATTATATGTAAACCATGTCACACGAAACGTATCATATTATTATATTTTCGCGCGGAGATCAGCTAGTGCTGAGTAACACGCATAATCTTACTAGAATTCATTTCGAGTTGGATAAAAAAAAACGAAAGTTAAATGGTCCATAGGTTTATTGAATTTCTATGAACGTTTTAGCCAACATAATTTATTTTATTTAAATAATTAATTGAATAACTCTCCTGTTACAATATGTGTTACATTTACTGTAATTTTACCGTCCTGTTATGTTTATTTCAATTAAATTTCATTTTTGATTTGTTACACTATTTATATGCACTGCATCAAAGTTATAGATTTATTAAATCCTATATTGAAAGTGAAATATTAAAATTTTAAAACTACAGTTAATTCGGAACCAAAATTATTTCACGTGTATTTAAACATAAAGGAATCACATAATCTTAATTAAATAAATATATGGTTTAATAAACTGTATTAATACATTATGATTAATTTAAAACTCGGTAATTTAAATCTATCTATATAGGTGTTAGTTTAGATTGCATATACATTAACGAGTTGCGTAGATCGTTTAATCTAATATTTTTAATCGACGTTAAATTGTTTATACATATGTGTTGTCTACTATAGATCTCCGACCGACTACGAAATTATAATAACTACACCCGAGGGTTAATAAAGTTTCTCATTTTTCCAACCACAGTTTACCATAGTTAGAGATTTTATTAATAACCAACAGCCTATAACTATAATAGTGCGTCTCGTGTTTATTCTATTAGGTCGAATTTTCGTTTATATATATTTCTACATGATACTAATTTTAGAGTTGATATTGGCGCCCGATTAGGTCAGAATTAGTGCCACAATAACCGGGTGTGTTGCATTCAAATTTGAGGGTTATATAAATCGTAGAAATTGCATCAATCCATGATGATGTTTAAACAATATTGGTTTCACCAAGCATTTTTTGATTCAATATAATAATTTCTGATCAATATTTCCTAGACCTTGTGTCATTGTTTATGTTATCTTTCCAGCGTTTTTTTTTTTTTACTTATAACATTTAATCGTTTGTAATTTATATTCTCAGAGATGTATACCTGGGTTCGAGAACGCGGCGTTTGGTCTCGAAGTCGAAGCCACCAACACGTGTGGCGTGGCCGGTCCTACTGAATTCTGCGTTCAGTCTGGAAGCCAAGTGACCAAGAAGACATGTGATGTGTGCACCGAATCATCGCATGCACCTTACTACATGACCGACTTCAGCAGTTACGCAAATCGAACCTGGTGGCAGTCGGAAACTATGTACGAGAACGTTCAATACCCCAACCAGGTCAACCTCACCCTACATTTTGGTATGTGACTTTTGTTATAGTATTTGTGAAGTTACAGTATTAGTCATGAATGTAGTTTTAGTCATAGGTATTGATTCAACTATAGATATAGCTAGTTTTAGTTTTAGTCATTGGTATTGATTCAACTATAGATGTAGCTAGTTTTAGTTTTAGTTTTAATTTGGGTTAAATAATTTGCTTGATTTAGTTAGAAACATTGTAGAGGCAAATTTAATTATTTCGGAACCGCTCATTGCGATATGATCAACAAGACTGTGATAATATAAATTTATAATACAAACTTGAACAAAATTAGAACAGAATTAAATGTCTGTTTAAGAATATTTTAAATGGTACTAATATTTTGTACCATACATTTTTTATTCATAGCTTTTATTTATAAACATTAGCAATTTTATTGAGTTACTTGAAAATCATTAAAAACACACCTTTATTTAAAGGTATTGTTTTTAAGAACAAATTCGAGTTGGGTCCCAAGATTTCAAAAACAGCATGATTGGTTCTAAACGTATTTTATGAAGTACTCAAGTCGGATATTTCGTTTAGGTATTTAATCATCATATTATTAATATATTTCGTTAACTTTGTTGAAAAAATAATAGTTTATGAATTATAACTTATAAAGAAGTATTACTTTGGACATTGATTTAAATGTTAATAGTTAAAAGGCCATTAACAGAATAAACTCCCCGCAGAGAGACGTGTTCACTTTATACTTTATAAGTAATTTTGTCAGTTTATTTAAGCTTGTCAATTTATTTTCAACATTCCTTTGGTCTATAGAAAATAAGTTATCATCGATTTGATTTTTTTAAAAAAAAAAAAATCTCAGCCGTTAGTATAAAAAATACTTTAATTTCCGAGTGCATGAATGTATAATAAGTAATATCGGAGTGTACAAGAGTAATTTATTGATTATATTTGTATGGTTGTATTGCTCTAAACGAACATATTTTATAGATAATATTCGATACGTATTAAAGTACCGTATGAAAAACGCGTGTAAACGTTTATGAACGAAGAGCAATCCAGTTGTACTTCGAGAACTAATTAAGTCAAACAAATTAATTTCTAATCGATTAGAAATTAGCACTCGTAGCTGATTTAGTTCATTCGCGTATTTCGCGGCACTAAAACATTTCTTACGAGTTGATTACGTTTTACGTGCTTTACTGACGGAAACATGTGTAGGTTAACGAAAGACGAAAAACCATTGCGCACATGCACCGTGCACGGTTCGAATGTCGGAAAAACAATTACACCTGGGAGGTAACAAATTGTAGGTTATACGTGTATTATCTCATGTGTTATGTAGACATCTTTATTATTTCAAGTTGCCGCGTTTAAGGATAATTTGCTGTGACGCGTGAGATCCAAATACTCGGCTGCACGTTAATTTCGTGAGACGTCGGCAGCGCACACGTTATTCGTTAACCTAGGTACCATACTACCATGTGTACACACACACACATTGTGCGTTGTATAAATAACCATCAATGTTCACGATGGAAAATAATTATACGCTGTTCGTTTAATATTGATTGTTATTAATCCGTCAGACGGTTGATTTTCAAATTCGTGTGCCTGTCACCGTACATACGCTTCGGACGATTATGTTACAGAGTATTTTTGACTCGTTTAACGTAATTAGTTTAGAATTATAAACCGATAAACCTGCTCGGGTAACCATATTATTTCGTTTGAAATCCTATAAGACATTTGTGTAGTGTACGCGTTGTATAACCGGTATATCCGAACCGCCACAAAAGTTACAAAATTTTGAATGAATTACATAGCAGTAGTTCTGATTCGTATTTAGGAAACAAAGCATCAAACAATATTATAACGATAATAATAACACCGTCGATCCAATACTGCCGCAACTATTGTCAACTCGTTTTGGGATTATTTGTTTTATAAAATAATCGAGGAAAAATGAGGCGTCTGTTGGTTTGGTCGAATCTTCGATTCATATTTGTACACCCCGTGCAATTGGTAAATAAAAATCGTCGTACCTCCTCGGTGTACATTGTGACTCGTAAAATTCGCATTTCCACGGTTCAACATAATTTACCTTATCGGGCTTGCGACATTTGCGAATCAAACGAAGCAATACGAATTTACTAAAATGTTGTTTTCCACTCCTATGTAATTGACCGTTTTGGATTTTTAGCGAATTAGGCCGACGGTCTTGTAAACCGAATACCCACGGTTGTAACATATATTCGCTGTTCAGCTGCTATTGCGTTCACGACTGTTAGCGTACAGAGATAAATTATTGATCGCGTGTTTTCGTATGTTCCATACGTCATGTACCATCGATTATTTTCATAATAATAAAAAAAAAAAAATATAGACCAAGACGTTGAACACATTTGAGCTGTATCTCGTTCTACGTTATCATGATTTGCTGATCGTTTTTCTCGTCATGGAGTTGCGCACCACTGTTCGCTGTTTCTGCGACTTCGTAATACTAAAAAAAGACCTATAGAACGGGCCGACGAGATACGAACGCGGAACCCCATAAAACGTTGATTGGATCAACTTGTGCACACAGAGCTGTCAAAAAATCGATTAATAATTATCAATGTAGCTATCCGGTAAGCGACAGAAACGAGTTTACGGCCATGAGGTTTTTCGAACGCGACGTTTATACAAACAATATGAAATTAATGACCAGAAAGTCGACCAAAAACCCAGTGCGACTGTAGCTATATATGAATACGTAAATACTAACTGCTTATGGAATACGGAAGAATAAAAACAATAACACGTTTTATCTATCGTCAGATCGTTTCAAACTACTATGCCAGTACGTGTCAGTCAATTCGTTAAAATTACTCTTCATAGTAAATATTGTATTTTATTCGATTTTAGAAATTATCCCATCATAAACGTAGTCGCTTTCTTTTTTCTTCCATCCACTGCATTGTTAGTTTCGACAAAATTACCGTATAAAATACGAGTACTTGATTTTTTTTTTATTAATAATTATTAGTTGATAGTTACATTTTTTTTACAAATATTTATGCATTGAGACTTTACAATGTCCATTAATAATATTATTTAAATAATTTTGTTTTACCATGACAGTCAGTAAATGGTTTTATTTTTTATTATTTCGAAATAAATATATTACGCTATTCCACGATAAAACGTGTTTCGTGCTGCTCAGATAACAGTTCTAACAGGAAACAACGAAACGATGACCTCTGTAACTTCCATTGATATAATATTCAACAGAATCGGACGAATATGGAGTGATTAAAAAAAAAAAATTCAAACCACGTGGTTGCGCTAATATTTCATTAATTCGCATCAACCACTTCATCGTGTAATATAATACTTCGTAACATTCTTTTGAAATTTTCAACTAAATTATGGTATTAAAAACCCTTATTTGTCATTCCGATTTTTCCAATTGTTTACTAATAAGCGTTTTAAAATAGAGAAAACATTCAAATCGTAATTAACGGTATTCAGATTAATGACGTAGTTTTTTTGAATAAAACAATGCTGTAAAAACGAATAGTGCTAATTTTAAACTTAAAAGAAGATCGTTGTAGAATTCAATTCACGCGGTGAGATCAATTCGTCGAAATATCCGTTTCGTCCATTATCCGTAGCAACAGCTCTATTCGATTTGCATTCATAAATACAGACTTTTGTTCGTAAAACAAAATTCGGATCTGTTCTCACCAGACCAATAAATTACAATATATATATAGGGCGTTTCGTAATTTCTCGTAGGATGAACAGAATATTTTTTCCGTCTCCCACGCATCATTTGAATAAAGTCCATACGCTCAAGGGTATTATAACGACGTTTTAAATTATTGCTCTATATCGGTTCTTACGGTAGTTATTTTAATTAATGTATTCGTTTACCACTGATACTCCTGCCTTGAACACCTAGCCCCATCTCGTTGATCGCGTATCAGTTCGATTGTCCTCGTATTAGTGTGTTACAATATGAACATTAACCGTCCAATCCATTGTAGAAAGTATGAAAAAAAAAAAGTGAATATTAAATTTGAACGTGTTCACCAGCCGTTTTCAATTTTCGTTACATATTTCATTTTTTCAACGGCTAATCGAAAAACGCGTTCGGTTATAAATCACACAATGTCACACATATACACTACTATTGCGACCAAAAAAACACTACTGTTGAGCGAACGCGTGACGGTAACACGAAAAACGTAGCATTGCAGCAAATATCATGTCTTACTCGAACACCTTAGCGGTTATGGTTCGGAAGGAAAATATTGACCGTTTCCGTTTCGTGAAACGTTTATTTTATTAGTTTGCCGACCGTTTTTGGTGACGGTCGATTCATCAGCATTTGTCGCAACGACAGCACGGAGTGTTAAATGTCGTTGGAGATACTGTAATACCTCATAAGTCCAAAAAAATCGAATATGAGGGGCTTACAACAAAATATTCAGAAAATTGGTAATAATGTAAAAAATTAATAAAATTAAATAAATAAATAAACATTAAATTACATTTTTAAGCAAAGTTAGAAGAAAAAAATTGATTTTATATCTACGTTTATTTGTTTCCAGAAAAAAAATTAATTTTGAGCTCACGAGGTACCTAATGTACTTTGCCGTGCGCGCGTCGTCCACGTACTACTGTACGGTAGTATGTAAACGAACCAGAATCATTGTGCGACAAACGGTAGTGAATAATTATTTTACTCGGCTGACAAAGACACTTTAAGTCGGCTCCGTACAAAGAAAATCTGATTTCTTCTCTTCCATTATTTTATTTCGACGCGTTTCATTCTTCTGGAACGACACCCGTTGTGAGAAACAAGTACGCCGCATTGTGCGTACCTACAACGTACGTGCTACCCAGTGTTCCGGGGAATAATATGGTGCACGCGGACGTTTTGGTTTTCAAATTCTATTTGTTCACGAGTTCGCATTTCGGACAGTCCGTTGGAAACGCGAAAAAATTAATTGATATAATCGAAACATAAATAATCCGTAACCGCGATTTATCCAAAATTTATATGCAAATGCATTTGGGTCGTATCAGATATGTGTGTATGTAATAATATGTCGTGAATAAAATTTCGCAAAAACTGATGGTGTACAACTTTTACATGCACGACTCAGATAAATGTAATATGCAAAATAAAACATTCCAGTTCTTACGAGCGTGCAATGATGATCATGGCGAAAAAGAGTATTGTTATTTTCTTTCACATTTAATATTGCCCAAGGTTATTACTCGGAAAACCACGTATACGATTATTATTATCATTATCATTATTAGGTATTATTATTATTATTATATTAACGTATTTGACCTGATAACGTAAAACGTATAATTTTTCTAAACACTAGATACGCATAAAATTATTAAAACGATTACTGTAGTCCAAACCTGAGCGATTTTCCCAAAACATAATTTTGCACGATGAAAACGTCCGTGATACGTTATTATGATTTTCTCATGTTTATAATTATGAACATTAATCATGGTACGATGTTTAAAAATTTCTGTTTGTATAATTTAAATTAGCATATAGTGATTTTTAATTTTTGACGTATGCCTGCTAGTAGATAATTTTGTTACCAAAATTATGAAAAATGAGCCAGAATAATAATTAGTTTTTAATACATGAGCAATAAAAAAATATTAATAACCGTGTTCGATATCTTCAGTGTGTTATATAATATTATAAATATAACGTTCTTAATGATTATATCATCTTCACAGATGCAAAATCATGTCCCTCCGTTTTATGGAAGGCAATATAATTTATCATGGCATCTAACCGTTCAAATTCAATGCACGTGTTCGTATAATAATATGATACTAATAGTTAATCAAACCAGTTTACAAACAAAATTTAAAGTAGTTTTTTTAAAAAAAAAAAAAAATACCAACCATAATAATTAACCAATTACGTTTAGTGTGCGCTAGCTATAATAGTCATATGATTAATTTTAGCTACTGGATGCGCATACCAAAACTGTATAATAATATTTCATACTGAGGTGTTCTCCTAACAAAACCGTAATACTTCCGGTCTAACAACTCTGAATCTTGGCTTAAGTTCTACTATAAACAACTCTTAGAGTACGCATAGTGAAAATGTTAAGTGCACATGACAATGTTTTATTTTCTTGTTTAACTAGGTAAAGCATTTGACATCACGTACATTCGACTTTTGTTTTATTCGCCGAGGCCCGAGAGTTTTGCAATTTATAAAAAAAGCGTCGAAGATGGACCTTGGATACCATACCAATTCTACAGGTGAGTGAATTTAAATTAAGTCGGTCGAGTGAGCATTTGTATGTTAGTATATATATTGAATATATTACTTTTTTTGACAAAAAATAACTAAACGTATTTAAGCGTGGCGGAATCATATATTTTATACACACAATTGATACGATTTTTCTTGTGAAATAATTCTTCTGAAAATTAAATCAAAAAAATTACTTTTATAGAAAGAAAAAAACAACTTATATAAAACTATTACATTCCTTACTCTTATATCGTATTTATTACACACTTGATATTCTATAAAACATTTTTTATCAATTAAACAAATAAAATTGATATACATTTTTCAAAGAAAAAAAAATCATAAATCTACAATGCACAAAATTATATATGTTCGAATGTGATGACATTTTAGAAATCGATATTTTATTTCAAAAATAGCAAAAATGCATATTAGTATAATCCGAAGAAACAATAACAAACTTGCAAACTCATATAAAATTAAATATCTATGTTAATGGAGGTTGAAGTGTTTCTTTTGATTTTGTATTTTTTGTTGTCAAAAAAATATACAACATCCCGGATATCATTATTTCCTCTTTTCTGCTCCGTATCCTGTCAGACTTTTTTTTATCTAATAATTTAACTACATGCGTAGAACATATTTGTTAAATTTAATGATGTCCATTTGCTTCGAATGCTTATTATCCAAATCGAGCATATATAGATGGAGTACAACGTACAGGAAAGTAAATAAACAAACTACAATAAGTGCCGGTTTTTTTTCAAACAAATGTGATTTTCGTTGACTTTTCTTTTGATAAGTATCAACAGTTAAAACAAGTCGCTATCTCTTGTAAGAATTATGTACAAAGTATTCGATTGGCTGACATTATTTTTGATGAGCACTCTCTACTCTCTAGCACCAGACACGTATTTAGTGGGAGGGAGTGGTTTCCATCGCTCCGGGTGGCACATTTTTCTGGAATCAAAGGGTGACAACATTTTTTTGTAACCATCATCTATTTTCATTCGTCAATTGAAAAATTTTAATATTTAAGATTTTGCACAGTGACCACATGGCGATTTTTATTTTCATGATAATATTATCAAATGTTAATCGGGTAAAATTCTTAGATAATAAATTTTACCTTTCTTGAAAATCGTATGCGTATACGGATAGGGGTGGCAATAAAACTATACCTGGGGCGTCATAACTCTAAATACGCCTCTGTCTAACACTATATATTATATATTTTGTATCCTTTTATCATTAAAATGTTTATAACGGTCCTATATGTCAACAAATTAAATATTATGCTAAAGCAACTATACTTACATCCAATGGATGATTTAATAACAAAAGCTTATTAATATCGAAATAAGAAGCCACTCTTAATTTTCAATTTAATATTCTAGTAATTAATGACGTTCTCGTTTTATATTTATATTATTATTATATTATGCCTGATCAATATCAGGTATAAACCATTTATACCTAATCTATACCTATATATATATATATATATTATATTTATGTTTTTATAATAACAAAAGTTTACCATAATTTGCAAACCAATTTAGTATTTTTCTTCAAAAAAAATTGAATAATAACTTTAATCGTGTATATTAATATTAATATTATTTAACCATATGTATTTTGGTATTGGATGATTCATAATTTTCTTTTCGAAGCATAAAAATACATAATACATAAATTTACATAGCAAATGTTTTTTTTTTACCGTTTAATTTATGTACATGCAATATAGTAAAATATTATGTTGCAACTATGATCAATCGTTTTGTATGTTTTTTTTAGTGGGAGTTGTAGAGACACCTACGGATTGCCTGACTTGAATTACATCCGTATCGGCGAACAAGAGACTAGGGCGTTCTGTACTTCCGAGTTTTCAGATATTTCACCATTGACAGGAGGAAGCGTGCCGTTTTCAACGTTAGAAGGTAGACCATCAGCGAAATATTATGATTCGAAATCGGAATTTTGGGTAAGACAATTTACATTACCTAATATATTCATAAATCATATAAAAGTAAAATGTTGTTTAGCTTTAATATTCATATGATAAATTGTGCAGTGTATGTAAACGAACATGTATAACAAAATTAATGCAAGTTAAACTATTGAATGTCGTAGTTATAGCTTTTCATAAACTATTTTGATAAAATTATAGCTATAATAGTATAATACGAGAATTATATGAATTTTCAAGATTTTATTTTATAGTAATTGAAAACTTTATTATAATCAATAAATGATCACAGTGTTATAATAAAATTCTTAACTGTAAATCGCTTTTAAATTAAGAGTTCGTTTTAGTCTTAAAATTGATTGTTTTATTACAATGTAAAATGGAATAAAGTCTAATGGTTTACCTAATAAATTATATAATACATTAAATTATATTAAAAAGGCGATCATACTTTTACTGGTTGAAATCTATGAACTAGGTTTCCAACTAACACATAAGTCACTGGGACAAATATATTTTTATTAGATAATAATAACATTTGAAATAATAATCATTTTAATAAGTGATGTTTTTTTTAAAAAAAATATGTATTTTATTGTTTATTATTCTCATTAAATTATTATGATATTTTAATCTCTTCTAGGATTGGGTAACAGCAACTGATGTCCTCATCACATTAGATCGTTTAAACACATTTGGCGATGAGGTATTTGGTGATCCTCAAGTATTAAAGTCATATTTTTATGCGATTGCTGATTTTGCAGTCGGAGCCAGGTAAATAATGTGCAATAAATACAAATAAATAAAACATGTAAAAACTGTTTACGGGAATACTATAATGTTCGATTGAAATTTGGTAAAACGTAATGTTTTATAAAAATAATGTTAATAATAAATTATACAATATAACATAAACAAATACTCTGCATAGGTAGCCTAAATATTAGTTTATTAGATCATAACCCGGTCCGTATTTAAGATTTTATTGCCCGAGGCTAACATTTTTTCGTCCTTTTTCCTTTAAGGGCAAAACTGAAAACAAGTGTCTTCAAATATTCATAAAAAAAAGCCGCTTACTTCACTCGCAATTGATTTTCCTAAGTCAACGATATAAATACGCCCAAAATCATCAATGGCATTGAGAATAATTGCGAATTATGTTAAGGGATACACCGAAGTGCGGACAAAACGATATAATTCTCTAAGTCCCTGGAAAATCGTTAAAATCGGATTCTAATTTTAAATAATACATTATAGTAGAGTTAATCGCACACTGTTTTCGGTGTAACGGTTTTGTGTTTTCCGTACGCGTATCAGTTAAACTTCGATCAATACCAAATTCGATATCATGTAAGGCCGATACGGATGCGATGTAATCTTTTTCAAAATCATACCGATTAAGTATAGCGTACCGATATTGATTTGAATGTTATAATTTTATTTTTATTTTTTTTCCAGGTGCAAATGCAACGGACACGCCAGCGAGTGTGTGAAGAGTACCGGTCTGGACGGTTCGTCCAGAAGGGTATGCCGGTGCGAGCACAACACCGCGGGTCCTGACTGTAACGAGTGTTTGCCGTTTTTCAACGATGCGCCGTGGAGCCGAGCGACCGCATCGAACGCGCACGAGTGTAAAGGTATTTGCGTTCGTTAAAAACTGTTGACTCGGTGAGCCGCATGGCCCCGTCTGAATCTTAGTACTACCAGAGAGCGCCGTAGATATAGCTTGGTAGACAATGATGACGATGATTGATGTAAATCAGAGACGGACCTTGGAAAGTTTGAGGATCGCGAGATTTACCAAACATTTACAAAAAAAATTATCTTTGGCCCAATAAAATACTCTAGAATGCCCGCACGAATCCGAATTATTAACAACGTAATCGCAACAAACCGTTTGATTCGTCGATAAAATCTGTGTTGTGCAAGTAGTCATAAAAACAGTGAATTACATTCGATCACGTGCGCTTCCGCGCCGACAATTTAAAGAGTTCTTGAAAGAATTGGATTCGGGATACGGTGATAAAAACAATAACCATTAATTCTGTTCGTTTAAAATAATTAATACGCAAACACTTATTTCATTATAATAATAATAAATCCTATTTAAAAATGTTTTAAGACTCCAAATTTTTATTGTATTGGGGCAAAACACTAATATAATTTTATATGTGTATTTCGTAATGTATTTGTATATTAAGTGGTCCGCATGATCATTTGGATTGGCCACGCCTGATGTAAATAAATGTATTCTTCCTTCGCCGACACAACATAACGGCGAGCACCCGTTTCGACGATATCCTCGCGCAACAATGTCTTGTTACAGATAGCCGATCATCACAGTGATCATCACGCGCGTGGGATTTACGTTTCGATTGGATTTCTTTGTCTACCGTAACATTTCCGCTTGAACGTACACAATGAACCCTAACCACAGTATCACTTTAGTTACCATGCTCAGTGGCGTAAGATAGGTATTTCAGGTGGTTCGAATAAACCGCCTAAATTTCGAGACCGAGTTTTTGTTGGCCCGGGCCGGTGTATAAAGTAATAATTAAATAGGCATAGCCGGATCTAGTGTGGGGGGGGGCAAGTGGGTGAGCGTGCTCCAGGAACTGTTGGTACAAGGACGCTATTAAGTTTAACGAAAAGTAAAAACAAAGTAATGAACCTACCTCGTACTTCCATCTAGTTAAGGGGGAGCTTTATTTTTATTAGCCTCGGACATCGAATTTCCGGCACGGGGCATAATTGTAATTCGCACAGAACCGTTAACGTACAATTTACAACACGGTTAAAAAGAAAACATATTCGTTCTTCGAAAAACATGCGAGCAACGATATTTAAACACAGAACAGTGAACATTTTGAGCTGTGCACGCGTGTGTAATGCGTTTGGACGATTCGACAATAATTATTGAATCGATAATAATAACGTGGACTCTTGCTTTCGCATCGATCCATTTGTGACCGGTAAATAGAAATAATGTAGGTGGGTAAAGAATTTATTTTCATTTTTTAGGAGGCATTTAGCTTGAACAATATTTACTTTTACATGATTTATTTTGATACGAAACAAGGGGCACATCGAGGTAAATATTCGGAATCCGAAGACCGACTTCTCTACAATCTCGTAGCTTTCATGCTAGATAGTTATAGAATTTTTTTTTTTTTTTTATGTCTGAGTATTGAGATAAGTGTTGTAAAATCAGAATGGGCCTAAATAAAACAAATCAGCAGAGACACGTCGAGTCGTGAACAAGAACAATTAATACGCCTTTGTTGCCGATTGTTATTATCCAAAATTGTTTTTCTAAAAATTAGGAAAAGTGCTTATAAATAATGTTTGATTTTTGCTATTGTTATTTGTTTTATGTTATCGTTGCAAATATCTGATTTCTCGAATACCTTTTTGTTTTACTATTTTATTACATTTATTATCATTTATCAACTATTTGCTGATAGTCCACTGGACGGGTGGATGTTAAGTTTTTAACGAAGGCGATTTGAACCAAAATTTTTTAAAGATCCAGGCGCCACTTGCGCTACCGCTATTTTCTAATTCAGAGCCTCTCGTACACTCAACGATTTCGGATCATCGACTGGGAACACTTCGCCAGCCGTTCCCGGCGGAAGGAAACGTAACGCACTTAAACGCTCAACGTGTTGCCTATTCCGCACAATCGCAGGGGAAACCTGAACCCGCGTCGTCTTGCATCGTATTCTCGGTCTGCTCCGAAACCCGTGCAACGCACGTGGTTCAGCGATTGTGACGGACGGTCGTTGCAGAACATGAGTTTCGATTTTTAAAATATTTCAAAAGAAAGGCCCGTTTTTCACGTCGTTGTTCACGTCAATCGATTTCCAACGTCTCGATACTAACACACACCAACCTAAATTATTCGCACGACATTTTAACACCGATCACTGTCAATGTTCAAACTTACGAACTTCACGATGAGCTCAGTTTCATGATTCCTGTGTCACTACACGAGACGCTGAAAACGAATTCTCGTTGTTTAATTGCATCTCTTCATCGATCATATCCGTATAGACCCAAACGAAATAGATACGATTTGTAACAGTTTGGTAATGTTTATAATTACAAAATGTTTGTACAGATTATGAAAAATATTTAAAACATTTTTTTTTTCTGTACTTTACAAATAATCTATACAATATTCGGAATAAATCAATAAAAATTGTATTCCGTAATAAGTGCTTGCGACTCCCCAGAAATGTGTACACGCCCTTCCGCCAGTTTGGGAGCCAGTGGTTTAAAGTCTCTAAACTATTCAAATAACTCGATTAAAGAATTTTACTAATTGGTTAAGTATAACTTAACAAATTTTCTGAACATGGATGTAAAATTAGAAAGTTTGATGGACAAATACCATTACTTAGCGGTAATAACGCATTAGAGCGTTTTACAACTCAACGATCGTATTTCTTCAGAGCTGCTACTATAGGAAACATTTTTACTTTCATAGCAATAACAGAATCATGAAGACCTATCTGGTCGGTCACAGTTTTTTCGATTGTGTTTTGTTTTATTTGAATGTTGGAGAATATTTTGATGTTTTGGAGTGATATCTTAATTTTTCCTTGACTACTATTATATTTTAAATTATAAAATTTTCAAAATTTTAATACCTTACTAGAGCTGCCTGTGCTCTAAAAGTATTTTTTTGAGCTCAAAAGCAATTGTATTATGCTTGATATTATTTGTACGAAGCCAAAGCATTGTATTCGTAAGCACGTAGTGTTTTATTTGTGACATAACAGTGCACTGATTTTATAATAAAGTAAGAATTTTATTAGATTTAAATAATAATTTAAATTCTTCCAAGCTCCATTGTTTATCATGTTATGTCAAGGTCTTAGTGAAACTATAATAATATGGTTATTCGTTTGTGATAGGTGTTACTGTTGAAAGGGCGTGTTTGGACTTTAATTCTAATATTGTGTATTCGCATGCGATCGAACCAGTTTATTTTTAATATTTCTTCCTTAAAATCGTTCTAGAGCTTGTACATTTTTTAATAAGATAATAAGAAAAAATATAATATTTGTTTATAATAATACATTTTAGAAAACATTATTTTTCTAATTTAATTTTAGTGAAGTCAAATGGTTTGCAGCGGTTAAACAATTCAAATATTTATGTTCATAGCTTAAAAAATTGAAGTCCAAGGACATTGTTGTCCCAGCACGTCACCGCACATGATTTATCAAATATAGTATAATTATAGTCTTTCTCCCTGTGCATCTATGAGTTTGGACACTAAATATTCTAATAATTTTGTTTCTTGTTGAAATTTATCGTTTGTAATAACGATAATGTTTTATACCTTCAACTTTTGTTATTTTTTTTCCCAACGACTGACGTACTTTATTCATTAGCGTGTATTATGTTTAATTTTAATTTTAAAGCCGAACTGTAAATTAAGTATGCAGTTTTTCGTGTACTATATCTATAGTTTTCAGTAATTTAGACTTTTTACATACGTTTTTCAGTTTTTCTAAGTTGTTTTTACTTTATTAAAAAAATTTATTTTTGTTTCATCGAGTATAGTATTATTATTATCATCTTTTTTGTTTAATTTTTTATTATTTTTTGGTCTTATAAAATGATCGATATTGTGTTTAAGTAATATTCGAGTAAAATCCACTTAATCAATTTCTACGAGTGCAGTTATAGTACCTAATACTAGATAATTAATATTCCTTTCTGAGTGTTTTTGATAACAGAAAATATGTTTGTGGACTTAAAACAACAAATTTTTGTGATTCTCTTGAAAGATTGGTGTGTGATGTTGTACAACCGGTTCAAACTTTAAATATTTATCTGACACAAATGAGTATAATATATGTATTGCAATCCAAACAATAACAGCGTTGATAGATACTCTAAGGATTCGTGTGTGACGAAGGCGTGACAAAGATTGCTGTCTCTCGTCTACATGCCGGTACACAGTACACACAAAGAATAATAAACTACTTTTCGCCGATGAACTGCTTTTCATCGTGTTTGTTCCAAAAAAAAAAAAAAACCTTCGAGACACAGATACCAGTCATTCTTGTGACTAATGCATGTGTCACTTGCATATATACATAAATTCATATATACCTGACAAGGTTAAAAACAATATTCAACAGTTGTAAATTAAATAAAGGGCAATAAAATATGCGATGATACAAAATAAAATATAGTATAGGTATATATGTGAAAAAATAAAAAATAAAATTAGAATTCTCTTGAGATTTTTTCGATAAAACTTCGGATTTTAATTATGTATTTATATTTAATATTCCCTTGATATTGTTGTTTAGATTCAATCAACTACCACGCGCATTGTTTCAATACTTTTTTTATCTCATTTTATGGTATAGTGCCTACTATTACTACCGCGTAGGTATGCAATCGACAAAGACAACGAAAGTTACGCTAACATTCTTTTCAATGCAATTATATATTTCCAAAATACGAAGTTAAATATTTGAAAAAAATATCTTTGGAATTTTTATCTAACGTAGTTTTATTTTTAATTGTGTTATTGTTTTTAGTTGCTTACAATTAAAATGTTACTACTGTTTTTAAATTTCTCATCCATATAATATAAATGTATGGGCTTATA